CCTATTGTGTGATTGTGAGATCTCGGTGGAGATCGTTGTGTAGAGAAGTTCCGGCTTCCAAACCGGGTGTGTTAGTGGAATTCTCCTTGAGAGTGAGGAGCGGGGACGTAGGTCGGAAGACCAAACCTCGTGAACATACCGCGTGTCATCAATTGGCTAACTATTTCTAATCCTTACTCTCTTTTATTGTTATTGCTTTTCATAATTATTTATGGTTTGTTGGAAAATATTTTAATTGCATATTCATTATTCATAAACCTTATTCACTCCCCTCTAGTGCCTTTCAAGAGGTGTTCGAGATCTTCAAGAAGTGAAAAGCCATGGTAGGGAACGAGACAAATTTGAAGGTGAAGTATCTGAGATTAGACAATGGTGGAGAATATGAGTTGGAGGAGTTCAAGAGGTTCTTTGCTCTAAATAGGATTCATTTGGAGAGGACTATTCCAGGGTTGCAACAAAACGGCAGTACAGAGAGGATGAATAGGCAATTGACAGAGCGTTAGAGGAGGATGCGTTTACATGCAAATCAACCTAAGACGTTTTGGGCGGACGTGGTGCATACGGCAGCTTACTTGATCAATCATGGGCCATTAGTTCTATTGGATTTTAGGAATCCAGAAGAGGTTTGGAATGGAAAGGAAAATAATCTCTCACATTTGAAGGTCTTTGTGTGATGCCCTAGGGTTCACACAAGGCTGCAGTCCAAGGTGAATCCCAGAATGTCAAACCTGTCATGCACCAACATCGTGCAATAACATGTTTTACCATCACAGCTACAATCTCTCTAGAAGAATCAACAAACATGTGTAGGTACAAACAGGTAAAGAATAGTGAAATAGTACAATGAACAGATTAAACATAGAAGAAATGTATAAATAACCCTGGCCCAACTGAAATATAATAAAATAACTCTAAATCTGAAATAAAATGTAGGGAAAAATCTCTTCTAACCCAAAGTTTTACCCCCAATTATTTAAAAACCCACTCACTTTTACAAACACCAATAGATCCACTGTATCTCATCTCACTTATTTTTAAACCCAACATGTATAATACACCCATTTTTTGTACTGTATTTACCCAATAAATTAAAAATTCCTAAACTACCCTTAATTCCCAAATTCCCAAATTTAACTCATCTCCTCTCTCTGTTTCGTTTCTCTTCCGTTTCACTTTCTCAAAGAATCCAGGAGAGACTAGGGTTTCAGCGAGATCTTTGGTTGAGGAACACCGGCGGCGGCGAAGGGAGTTGGTTCGACGGTGAGCGACGACGTACGGCGGTTGCACGGGTCTGAAAGCGGAGGACATTTGGAGCGACGACGGACGGCGGCTGCACGGGTCTGAAAGCGGGTAACACACTAATCTTCCCCTTTTCCTCTCTAATACTTGAAATTAAGCCCCTAGATCATCGAATTTCATCACAAGTTCCTCATATCACTGAGTGTTTTCATATTTCGAATGAGGTTGTAGAGAAGGCGACGAAGAGAGTTAGGGCTTGGATTAATCGGGTTTTGTCTGTAGCGAGAGATATTGGAGTTGGGAGAGATCGAAAGAAAGGGTTTCCTGCAGTTGTGATTAAGCTCTTTTTTTAAATTAATTTATGGAAATGGATGATCTCTTGACCTAATTATGTTGATGTTTGGTATAATTTAGGTCATCGTGGGACTGTATTGTTGCGCACATTGAAAGTTCGTTTAGTATCTTCACTCTTATTTACATCGGTGAGTACTAACAATTTATCCATTGTTTGGCTGACCTAATTAAAGTTCCAAAAGAAAAACACTTTCTTTTGAAATTAAGCCCCTTGTTGTAGTTTTGATCACATGCAACTTGCACGTATAAATTGTTGAAAGGGCCCGAAAGATAAGAATGTACTTATATCACTGTAATCTCTCAAACATCTAAGGTTTATCACCTATGATAGCTTGGTGTTGAAATCATTATTTATAAAGGAATTCCAACCTATCGCTGGGATATTCATAATTATATTGTACTTTTTGAAATATTTGTCAATAGGTTGTCGAAGATGTCAAGCAGAAGGAGATCGAGGGGTTCTTCCCAATCGACGTCTAAGGCTACTAAGTAAGTAAATTATAATTTATCTGAAATTATTGTTATTTCCTAAATTTTAATTATTTCTTATTTTTTACTTGTAAATGAAATTGAATATGAAGATTTGGATCCCTAGATCCCTAGATACGTCTGATACATACGAATGATAAATAAGAGCATCAGGAGAAAACTCCAACATAACTAGTGTTCTGCGACAATAGTTGTTTTTTATCCTACATCAATGAAACAGTAGATAATAAGTTGGTAATAGAGGAATTAAACAATAGATATTAGCATGTGAAGAGTTGAATATATTGATAAAAGTTTACATGAGCAACTCCTTCATTATCAAATTTAGCTGTATAAAGATGCTTATTGTCCATGTTTTGACTTATTTCCAGTTAAGTCTCTGACCATGCTAAATATACCCTATAATACCAATTTCACTGATTTGTCTATATTATTGTTTGTATACATCAGCTTTGTCCTTTTGTTTGTGGCTGTAAAAAGTTCATTTTTTTAAAAAGTCGTTTACGCTACACAGTTTTACGAGAGTTCTAGTATGGGGTCATCAAAATTTTAATCTTAGATGATGTAATTAACGTCTTGAAGATAAAAGCAACTCAACGTAAAAGGTATCTTTATTCGGAACACTATGGAAATGTGGACAATAGAGTTAGACACATTCGTGCTACCATTTTTCTCAAACTTTCTTCTCCTTCTTTGCGGCAAACATCAGAGGAACTCCGAAATAGTTTAATCACTTGCATGTATTCAATAGGGAAGCTTGAGAATTTTCTGAGTCGGACTCCTGACGATGCGAGACACTCCGCGACCGACGCGTCACGTAAATAGGATCATTCGAATTTCCTATATAAATATACCGCCGCTCGGTCCCGGATTTTTTGATGTGGTTCCGTTGTCCTGCCAAGACATTAGAGAGTTTCGAAGGCTTTTGTGTATATTTAATCCAAATCCAAAGTAATCCAAATATGCAGCGCGTTTTGCAAAGTATATTATAGCATTTTTGTTCTCTTTAGAGCACCAGTATACACCGGTATTGGCAAAGTATAAGCACCTTTTTATGGCTAAAGTATACACCGTATGGCAAAGTTATAAATTTGGGTGGCACCTTGAGACGGCGTGCGTAGTTTGGAACATCTGAGCATCCGAGTCGTCTGGCGACCATTGTTGTTTTAGTTTTTCAACGCGACTGAGAACTACTCGCACCGAAGTGGGTTTCACTCGTCGTATCTAGGGTAGGCCGATCTCCGCCGCGTCGGCCGTCCCGCCCAATTTCGAAGCTTCAGGCGAACAAGTATACACCTTATTGAAAGTATAGCACCTTATGGCCAAAGCTATAGCACCATTATTTGCAAAGGTTGCAACCTTATATCAAAGTGATGCACCTTATGCCAAAGTATAAACACTTACGCATCTCTGGAAATTCTGAGTGCTCCGAGTCCGTTCCAGAACATTTTAGTTTTTTTCGGCTGGCGAGAACAGTCGGCGACCGATCGTCGTCGTAATATGGGATCATCCCCGCGTCGGGGTCCTCACCCAATTTCAAAGCTTCAGGCAAATTATAGCACTTATTGCAAAGTATAGCCATCTTATGGGCCAAATAAGCAACCTTATTGAAAAGTATAGCACCTTAATGGCCAAAAGTAATAGCACCTATGGCCAAAAGTAATAGCACCTTCACGCTCTCCTTACGCTCTCTGGAAATTCTGAGCTCCGAGTCGTCGCGTAAGGTGCTATACTTTGGCCATAAGGTGCTTTACTTTTGCCATAAGGTGCTATACTTTACAATAAGGTGCTATATTTTGGCCATAAGGTGCTATACTTTGTAATAAGGTGCTATACTTTGACTGAAGCTTCGAAATTGGTCGAGGACCGGCCGACGCGGCGGATGACCGGCCTATTACGACGACGCGTCGGTCGCCGAGTGTTCTCGTCACGCGGAAAAAAACTGAAATGGTCGCGACGACTCGGAGCTCAGAATTCCAGAGAGCGTAAGGTGCTATACTTTGGCCATATGGTGCTATACTTTGGCCATATGGTGCTATACTTTGCAATAAGGTGCTATACTTTGGCCATAAGGTGCTATACTATGCAATAAGGTGCTATACTTTGACTGAAGCTTCGAAATTGGTCGAGGACCCGACGCGGCGGATGATCGGCCTATTACGACAACGCGTCGGTCGCCGAGTGTTCTCGTCGCGCGGAAAAAAACTGAAATGGTCGCGACGACTCGGAGCTCAGAATTTCCAGAGAGCGTAAGGTGCTATACTTTGGTCATAAGGTGCTATACTTTGGCCATAAGGTGCTATACTTTGCAACAAGGTGCTATACTTTGGCCATAAGGTGCTATACTTTGGCCATAAGGTGCTATACTTTGCAATAAGGTGCTATACTTTGCCTGAAGCTTCGAAATTGGGCGAGGACCGGCCGACGCGGCGGATGATCGGCCTTTTACGACGACGCGTCGGTCGCCGAGTGTTCTCGCCGCGGGGAAAAAAACTAAAATGGTTCGCGACGACTCGGAGCTCAGAATACTCGATTTCGGATTTTTTTTCTCCGCGACAGAACACTCGATTTCGGTTTTTTTCAGTTTTTTTCTCCACGACAGAACACTCGATTTCGGATACACAAGCTAATTAAAGTAGTTACACCACAACACAAATAGATATAACAATAAAACTAACTGAAATAACATTAAAACTACTGAAGTAATTACACAAAAGTTACAATAATCAAAATAGTTTGTTTTTTGATCTTCACCACCAAAACATAATCAACCCATAATAACTGAAGTAGTTACACAAAATTTACAATAATCAAAATAGTTTGTTTTTTGATCTTCACCACCAAAACGTAATCAACCTATAATAGGTCCATGAAGATCACAATCAAACTGATTTGAAAATATTCAAAAGCATGATATTTCAATCAGCTATTGGTTGGTTACATGTTCGTCGATTGTGACCGAACTCCTTACATCGGCTACACTTCAACATTCTAGAAGGATTTAGTCCAGAAGGGATCCGCTTTGTTTTTGGCCTTCCTCTACGAATCGAGGTTAATGGAGGTCTAATCTCCATATTCTCATCCGTTATAATTGGCTTCTCATCATCAGGAATTGGATATATGGGAAAGGAGTAACACTTGCGGTACACCTCCGTGCTGAAATAGTCAGAAATATATGGATACAATAGCTGATCTTTGTGCCTGATTACGGCGGCCGCATGCTTGCAAGGTAGTCCAAGAACTTGCCATTGGCGACAAGTACATGTGCGGTACTCCAAATTCACTCTAACAGATGGGGAATCATATACTTCATACAGAATCGACGTAGAAGGATTAACATGAAGACAACGTGCACCCTCGTTGATCAGGACAAGATGCTCCTCTACACTAGGAACAAGTGGTGTAGTCCATTTGTTGGATTCCTCACGTCTATCGTAGCTCATTTTCATCATCTTCACCCGGATGTGATCAACCAACTGCGCTATCGGTAAAAATCGGGCTTCCTTAATCCATGCGTTGAAGGACTCAGCTAGATTTGAGGTTAACCACCCATACCTGCAACCATGTTATAGCTATAGGATTATTCAAATGTTATACATGTTCAAACACACATATCAGAGAGTTCAATCACAAAGACCAAAAATATGTAAAAATGGTGACCTCTTTCCAGGAAAATAACAATTAGCCCAGTTCTGTGGGCTCATATTCAGCATTTCAATGAAAGCAATAGATGACTTATTCTGGAGCTCGTTGCATTCATTATGATAAGCATGCATTGTGTAGGCATAGGCAGCTCTCTTCATAATTTGAACACAATCATCCCTAAGTGGTGCTGGTAACCTTTTCTTTGACAAGTTGTTCTTATAATTGGCCATTAAATGGCGGATGCAATAACTGTGATATGAACAAGGGAAGCAATTCTTGACGGAATTTTGAAGTCCTTTGTCTCGATCAGAGATTATAACCAGCTCATCATTCGGAGTATATGGATCATCTGAATTGTACAATACGTCACGAATGCATTCAAGGAACCACTCCCAATTGCTCTCATTCTCGGTTCCACAAATACAAAGAGCGACAGGAAACATTCCTCCATCTCCATTCAAAGCAGTAGCAGCAAGTAGAGTTCCCTTGTACCTATCAAAAAGATGGGTGCCATCCAAGAATAAAATTGGTCTACATCCCTCGACAAAACCCTTCCAACAAGCATAATATGAGATAAAAAATCTAGTAAATCTGCCATCTTCATGTTCTAGATGGACGATTGATCCTGGGTTAGTTTCCATAACTTTATCCTTGTACCATCTAAGTTGTTCATATGAATGTTTTGCATACCCATATAACTCCTGTTGAGCAAGCTCTTTCCCACACCAAGCTCTTCCATAGGGGATATCAACGCCAAACTCTCTCAGAAGCTTCTTTTTAAGATCAATTGCGCGGTAGGTGGGTTGTTCTTTTAGTATGGATTTCACAATATTTGCAACCCACTTACGAGATGCCCGTGGATGTCCCTTCTCTCCTATGCCTCCTCCGAGACAACTATGTGCACGACCAATTTTCTTCACGTAAAACCGTTTGCAGTCTGTACGACGGTTACAATGGACCATCCATTCACAGTCAGCACCTTTGCATTTTACTATCAATCTTCTAGGTTCATTTTTCAAATAAGCAAAGTTAAAACCGAGAGCAATTGAGTAATTTCCAAGACTTTGCCTTAGATGTTCAACATCATTAAATTCTTGTCCGACACTTCTAATGGCATGATACCATGAAATAGGAATCTGAATACTAGATCTCTCAACTTCACGTAATGCATTTTGTGAATTGGATGGATTATGCGTCGAGGATGCATGTTGTTCCGAAAGAGATATGGTAGGATTCCTGCAAACATAAAGCAGTTACCTTATAAGACTAGCAATTAGAAACATTAATGAAAATTCTTATCTAGTACTACAGCTAATTGCCGACATATTATATCGTCATAATTTTTCTTTGAACTACAGAGAAATTAAATAAACATGGATTAATTTTGTGAAATATGGACCTCACAATATACAATAAGTTCTTACCTTATGTGAATGGTGTTTTCCTCTAGACCAAATAATGTATCTCGATCTATGTCAACATGCATCTTAACTATCTTCTTCTTGCAACTTAGATGTACATCGAACATTGTTGACAAATCGACGTCATCATGGACACGTACAAACAATTCTTCTGTATATGGGACTTCATAAGTCAGCTTCACTGGGCTTGAAAAAAAAAGCAATTCTACTTGCACCTCGGCCACTAAATTACTGAAAGTCCCCTTGATATTCATTGGAATCAAATGATTGTTTCCTCTAAAGTCCATAATTGCACAATATAGCTCTTCTTCCATTACTGAAATTCATAAAAAATAAAATAAGTGGGGAACTAACTAACAATCAAATATTACCAAACAAACACAAGTCTAACATGCATTTTCTTATTGTATACGATATAATTCAACATCGGCATTCAATATGCAATTCTCTATGTTTCTATACAATATAATTCAATATTCATTCCTAAATATTCAAAGACCAGATTTTTCTACATTCTATAGAAATGAGGAACAAATGATTTTTATTTTGTGAATCAAATAAAGAAAATATAGAACGGGTACATTGCTTAGCTTTTCATAGCACTTTTTAAAGAAAGTATAGCACTTTCCAAACTCTCACTACAAATGATGTAATCAACAGAATTAGGGTTTTCTCATGAGAAAATAGTAGTCTCAACATGATAAAGGTTTTCTCATTTAAAAATTTAGACATTTCAACAAATCAAGATATAAGGATGGGATCTCAATCACTCTATAGTTACCTTTAAATGTCTTCTTTTACTGCAAGAAATGAACATGAGATCTCAACCACTGATCTGATGAAGGATTAATGTCTTCTATGAAGAGAAATATTAATGGAGGAGAGAGATTTCTCAAGAAGAGAGGAGAAATTAATGGAGGAGAGAGAGAAGGAGAGAGTAATTGAAGATGGGGACCAAATTGGGGGTTTGTGAAGACTGAGTGTAGCCCGCCCTTTTCTCCCGCCATTGTCGCCATTAATGCCTACTGTTGACGGTGATGAGAAGAAGAGAGAAAGGGCAAAGTCGGGTTTCTCTATTTTGGGGGAAATACGGTATAGAGATAGAGAGGTATAAGGAGCATTGGGTTTAAAACTAAGCCAAATGGGTATAATGGGTTTTTTGGTGTTCAGTAAAGTGGATGGGTTTTAAAATAATTGGGGGTAAAACTTTGGGTTAAAAGGGGATTTTCCCTAAAATGTAATATGTCTCAACACAAGAGTCAAATAAAATCTCACTAAGGCACTCAACCTTTACAAAATTGAATCACAATCTCTAGGGTCTAAAAATAAGCAACTAAATGTGGAGCTCTGAAATAACTACAACTGTAAATAACTAGATGAAATCTAAGATGTAATCCCATCAACCTGCGACTCTCCGTGTGCCGGACTCACTGCCTGAAATGGAAAAAATAATAAGCGTCAAAGTGCTAGCGAGATCATCTCCACCGCCCCCAGGGGGAAGGGGTAGGAGTACATAAGAAAATACTATTAGTACATATAGCTATAAAAATCATTCATATAACTCTAAATAGAGATTGGTATTTAAAAACCCACAACACGAAAATTAGTACGTCGAGCGAAATAATCCAAACAAGAAAACCCTTATGTATATACCATGTCTCAAATTGTGGATCGCTAAATACCAATTCCATCCTATGAATAAAAATAGTACATGAAGAAAAATACTCTAAACTTCTACCAAAAAGAACTAATGTCACATCTCGAACTACCCTCAGGTAGTTGGCGCAGTCATAATGAAATATCATCCAGCTCAAATATCACCATAAGCCATATCATGTATGTCATGTATCCAAAATATACCCCACACTTGGGTAATCTAACATGGAAGCAAACTACAACCTATGTGTATATGTCTTTATTACATAACGATACTTTTGTAAGGTTCTCACATTCACATGTAGATTCAACGTCCTTACTCAATCGTTCTGCGATAATAGATTTTATCTCCCCTATTCCGGATAATGCATCTAGATGATCATACCATGGAATAAAGGTGTATCGACTTAATCTGAAAAAACATCGATCATCTTCGAGTATTGGTACAGTCGAGGTCTCATTACGGGATAACGTCCAATACTCTTAGTGTGGTGCCGCTGAGGTCTCATTACGGGATAAACGTCCACACCGAAACATCCCCAATAGATAAGTATGCATTATCATGTGTTATACCTACACCTATCAACTCAAACATTTATTGTGCATCTCCACTATGCAAAAATATTTATTTAAGAACATAGATCAAGCATTAGTGCACGTGTCTCAATGTGCGTGCAAATATTTCGTGTTCACAAACACCTCAGGTGTTAAACATGTCATAAACATCATATTACATCTCAGATAGATTGAGAAAATTCCTCAAAAATATCAAACATAGTCGAAACATGCACATGCTCGGATTTGCCGGCGCTCGACCGCGCCTTATCTGGCGGTCGACCGACCCGAGGTCCTCAGCCTGCTTACTACAGGTTTGTGTTTGTGTGTGTTTTATAATTATAACTTGTTTAACTTATTGTAAAACTTGTATAGAATGTTGCAAATACTAAATTAACATCTCTGAATATTATTCAACACATGAAACAAGAATCACAACATTAAATATTATATGTAAACCCTAAACATGCATGAAAACATCAAAACGTCAATAGAATCATCAAAACTAAGTTAAACCACATTGTTATTTACTTTTAGATCTAAAATCACTTCTGAAAATTCTTTCTTAAGCTTTTAAACACAGAAAACTCTGATCTTTATTCATATAATATAAAAGAATTGCTTTTATACTCAAACTAGTCGATTTGGCTCAATAAAATTAAAAACTCATTAACAACCTTTAAAAACTTGGATGTAGGGTTAGCAGAGATAGATACTCGCCTGAAACTTGGTTGAAAGCCTGAGAGTGCAATGCCAAAGAAAATCCCTAAGCCACACATCAACAAAACCCGCCTACACGTCGAAAATTGCTTCACAAAGCTCTTTGAAACTTAAAATTTTAATTTAGGGTTTAGGGGTGGAAAATGTGTCTGCTAGGGTTTGAAAGATCTGATATCATATGTGCAAAAATGTGAAAAGGAGGTTTATATACTTTTGTGTGCATTTGGGCCTCAAAAAAACACATTTCCAAAACAGACTGGGAAAATTAGAAAATTGATCAGCGGTCGATCGGACCTTGTGCGGCGGTCGACTGGCCAACAACTTTTTAGTTTGTGCAGGTTTGTTGGCTTGTGCATGTTTCGACTCGATTCTTTCACATGTATGAACTCGTTTACACTCAAAATACTTGGCATCATACTCATACATTATTTAATGATATTTATCATGATAAATATCCATTTATCACAATTAATCACTTATTATTTTTAAATTATCACTTATTAACTCATTATTTTTTTTACCTAATCCTTAATCAATTGAAGTATATGGTATATACATAGGGGTTTCCTTGTTTGGATTATTTCGCTCGAAGTACCAATTTCGATTAGTTAAGGATTTAGGTAAGAATGTTTGCATTCTAGGTTGTTAACTTTAAATATCATTGTGCTAATGTTATGTGATGTGTGCAGAAGGAATTCTTAATATGAATTACACCTTCTTAATGTGTTTTCCCAGTTTTTGAGCTTTGAGATGCGACTGCGGAATTTCGAGGACGAAATCCTCTTAAGGGGGGTGAATGTAAAACCCCGATAATTTATGAATAATAAAATTAATGTGTGATAAATTATGATATGTGGATATTTAGTATGATAAATATCATTTAATGGCATATGAGTATAATACCATGTGTTTTGAGTATGAACGAGTTCATACATGAGAGATAGAAGAGTTGAAACATGCACAAATGGCCAAACTCATGAGAAACTGGAAAATCCCAGTCCGGTCGACCGTCGCCCCAAAAAAAAAAAAAAATTCCTAGTTTGATTTCTTGGAGAAGATTGAATGTTTTCAAGTGGATTTTCGGGTGATTCTTGGCTTTTGGAGTGGAGATCTTTTTCAACCTTGCTTCTAACATGTTTTCCTGCAACCAAAGGCGAGTATCATCTCTGCTAATCTCCTCCTAGTTTTCAAAACGTTTTTAAAGAGTTTTAAACATGTTTTGTAGAGCCTAAATGACTAGTTTATGAATAAAGTCAACTTCTTTTGTATTATATGTAAAGAGACTAGGTCTTTCTATGCTAAAAAGGTTGAGAATGATTTTTACAGAAGTATTTAAGACCTGAAGATGATTTTAAAACGTGGTTATTGATTCGTTGTTTTGAGCTTTTATGCATATTTTAGGGTTTTGAATACAAATCTAATGCATAAAATTATGTTTATAATTGTTGAGTTGTTTCCAGATGTTCATATCTGTTGTGGCATGTTTGTATAAAAATTTTATGAAGATTTGGACATGTTTACATCGAGAAAACACGACATGAACACGACACACACAACCAGTTTGGAAAACTAGAAACAGGGTTCACGGTCGACCGCCACGGTCGACCGCG